AGGCTGGCCTCGAACTCACAGAGATCCGCCTGCCTCTGCCTCCCAAGTGCTGGGATTAAAGGCGTGCGCCACCACCGCCCGGCTCAAAGTGTTATAGTACTAATTGTTTTGTTTTCCTTTTTGTTTCTTCAGACAGCATCTAACTATGTGGTCCAGGCTAGACTCACAGTCCTTTTCCCTCAGTTAGCCTCCCAAGTGCTGGTATTAGAGGTAGACACTACCACACCTGGCTTAATAAATATTAACATCATTATACTGTTCACCAAACGATGCTAAAACAGTTCTACATCCTGACAGAGAAGGAGCCCAGGCCTAGGAGGCTGGCCTGTAACTCCAGCTAGGAAGCTGAAGCAGGATCAGAGTTTGAAGCTAGCCTGGACAATTCAGTAAACACTGTTTCAAAATTGTAAGTGTAATAAAAGAATAAAAGGACCAAGTATGTAGCTCAGTGGTAAGAGGGTTTGCCTAGCACTTCCAAGGCTCTTGGTTCTACCCCCAGTACATCTAAAAAAACAAAAACAAAAGAAAAACTTACGTGTGTAGGCGTGTATGTGTGTGCATGTATGTGTACTTTGGTCTTCTGAAAATAACTACTAAGGTCAAGTGGTGGTGGCACACGCCTTTAATCCCAACACTCAGGAGGCAGAGGCACAATGATCTCAGAGTTCTAGGCCAGCCTGGTCTACAGAGTGAGTTCTAGGATAGCCAGGGTTACACAGACAAATGCTGTCTCAAAAAACAAAAAACAAACAAAAAACAAACAAACAAACATAAAATGGCCAGGCGGTGGTGGTACATGCTTTTAGTCCCAGCACTCGGGAGGCAGAGCCAGGTGGATCTCTTTGAGTTCGAGGCCAGCCTGGTCTACAGAGCAAGATCTAGGACAGGCTCCAAAACTACAAGAGAAAGCCTGTCTTGAGAAAAGAGAAAAAAAAAAAAAAACCTAATGAAAAAAATCTCTTAAGCACTGAGGAGACAGAGGCAGAGGCAGAGGCAGAGGTAGACAGATATGCAAGTATGATCTACACAGTGAGTCTCAGATTACTCAGGGCTACATAGTAAGACCCTGTCAAGAGTTAAATGGCAGCTGGAGAGACGGCTCAGTGACTAAAAGTATGTGCTGCTCTTTCAGGTGACCCGGCAACCTCATTCTGTGGTTCACAATCATCTGTAACTCCAGCTCCAAGGGAGCCAGACACCCTCTTCAGGACTCAGCAGACATGCACACGTCACATATATTTATTCACTAACAGGGTTTCTGCTGCTCCCCCGCCCCCAGTGCAGGAAGCCGGATCAAGCTGAAATTAAAAGTATAACAGGTGCACTGAGCAAAGCAACTTCCAGGTGGGTTCTCCAGAGGCCAGAGAAGTCTTGCCCCCAAACTATAGCAGGGAGATTTTATAAGCTGTAGGTGAGGGGTGATGACGTGTCCACCATAAGCTGGGTTTGTCCCCAAGTAGAGTCAAAAACTGAGCATTTAGACAGATTTGAGCTGCTGGCAACTCCAGGGGAGGAAGCAGTAGCAGCTGCCAAGAATGCAGAACTGGGCTTTTTGGTGCCTTCCCTTTGTTCAGAGATTCTCTGTGTGGACAGGGTTTGGAGAGGGGGAAGAGAGACAGACAGACAGAGAAATGGGACTTTCTGAACTGTGCAGCGTGGAGCTGGAGGCTCCAACCAAACATTCATATACACATAAACAAATAAAAATAAATCCTTCAAAATCTTTTTTAAAATACAGCAATTATGTGCTTGTTAGGTCTAATTTATATGTTTATCGTTTTTCCTGTATATATATACTTGTGTGATGGTGTTGGATTCCCTGGAACTGGAGTTACAGAGAGTTGAGAGCTACCATGTGGGTCCTGGGAATTGAACCCAATATCAACCATCTTAAAACAAAGGCTCAAAAAAAAAAAAATAAAAAAATAAAAAAAATAAAAATAAAACAAAGGCTCTTCCTGCAAGTTCAAAATCAAGTCAGGAAAGATGAGGATAGAGCTCAGCAGTGCTACACACATGTTGGGCAAGCACATGCCCAGCCCTCTGAAGCTTTTCCTATTTATTTATTAATTGTTGTAGTCGTAAAGATTGAAACCAGACTCATGCAAGTGTTTTGCTACATATTTGTTGTTGTTGTTGTTGTTGTTTTCGACGCAGGGTTTCTCTGTGTAGTTTTGGTGCCTGTCCTGGAATTCACTCTGTAGACCAGGCTGGCCTTGAACTCACAGAGATCCTGGCTCTGCCTCCTGAGTGCTGGGATTAAAGGCATATGCCACCACCGCCTGGCGCTACATATTTTTAATACAAACAAAACAAAACAAGAATGATCTGGGCACTGGGCATAGTGCATGTCTGTGACTCCAGCACTTGGGAGGCTGAGGCAGACGCCTACTTATCCCTCTAAGTAAATACCATTACCATGGGGACCAGTATGTCCACACTGCCCTCACCTTTGACATTCTGCACCTCCGCCCATACTACTCCAGACCACAGCCAAAGCAATCTCTCCTAAATGCTTTCTTTGAAAACCCTGCAGTGAGGCTAGAAATGGTCCAGTGGTTAACAGCACTTGGTGTTCTTCCACAGAACCCACATTCTGTTCCTAGTACTCCAGCTCCAAGTGGATCTGATTCCTCTGGCCTCTGTAGGTACCTGCACTGTTTCTACAAATGCCCATACTTGCACACACACACAACACCTAATCCAAAATAAAAACATTTTAATTTTTTAAGTTTATTTTTATGTGTAAGGTATTTTACCAGCATGCATGCCTAGTACCTGTAGGGGCCAGAAGACAGGTCAGATCCTTTGGAAATGGAGTTACAGGTGGATGTGAGCAGCTATACAGGTGCTGAGAATTGAACCTGGGCCCTCTGTAAGAGCAGCCAGTACTCTTAACCACTGAGCCACCTGGCTAACCAAATAGTTCTTTCTTTATTATTTGTTTTAATGGTGCTGGTATCAAACTCTGGACCCTACCCATTCAAGGCAAACACTCTTTCATTGAGCCTCAGTCCTAGCCCCCAGTGGCTTACCTTTGTGCACATATTGTGTACTTGTTTGTGTGGCTATGGACAGTTGGAGGTGTGAGCACCCATGCCTAAGCCACTGAGCGACCTCCCCAGCCCAGGCTTAACTCCCATAGACCACTCCACCACATGTGCCATTTTGGATGAGATTCTATCAACACTGGCAGTCAGAAGTCTGCGTCAGGCGGCCTCCTTGATCATTTTCATCTCCTTTATTATTGAAATGGGGCCTCTCACTGAACCTGAAACTCATCAAATGGGTAAGTTGGCTGGCCAGCCAACAAGCTTCATGGATCTACCTGTCTCCATGTCCTCACCCACCACCAGGATTACAGGCATACTGGGTTTTCACATGGGTGCAAACCTAAGACTTCCTGCTTGTGTGGCACACACTTGGCCAATTAAGCCATCTCTCTAGCATTCCAAAGGCTTACTTTCCCCTTTCTTTGTGTGCGTGTGCGTGTGTGTGTGCGTGTGTGTGTGTGTGTGTGTGTGTGCGTGTGTGTGTGTGTGTGTGTGTGCACATTTGTGCACTGTCATGCAGAGGCCCAAGGTTGGCACTGGGTGTCTTCTGTTATTGCTCTCCACCTTGCACACTAACGCGGGTCTCTCACTGGACTGGAAGCTCAGTTCCAGCTATTCTGGGGAGCCAGCTTACTCCAGGGATCATTTCTGCTTCCCACGGGCTGGGATCACAGACAAGCAGTCACACTCACTCAAATTCCACATGGACTCTGGGGATCAGAACTCGGACCCCAGGCTTCTGCAGCAAGCACCTCACCACTGAGCCGCCTCCCCAGGCCAGGCTGACTCATATAGACCACTCCACCACACATGGCAATTTTGGATGAGGCAGAATATTGGTGACTATGGGGTCCAGCCCCTCGACAGTCCCCTCCCAGGATCCGGGAAGAATCTACAACCAGCTGATGATTAATCTTTGAAGAAAAGAAATGGATCTATGTACACGAAATTCCTTAGTCCATACACTTTATTATTCTGTCAGTTTTCTCTCTACAAGCTCATACTCTGCTCTCATTTTTTCTTTTGGTTTTGAGTCAGGGTTTCTCTGTGTAGCTTTGCGCCTTTCCTGGATCTCTCTCTGTAGACCAGGCTGGCCTCGAACTCACAAAGATCCCCCTGCCTCTGCCTCCCAAGTGCTGGGATTAAAGGCGTGCCCCACCACCACCCGGCAGTACTCTGCTCTCATTTTAAGCTCCTTTCTTGTCCAATTTCTCTATACATTTATCTGTTGTCCCCTCTAGGTTCTATCTAAATTCCTTCATCTTAGTTCTGCCCCTTCTAGGTTCTCATACATCTAGTTCTTTCCCATATCAGCTCCTCTCCCGTCTCCTTCTCTCTCACCTGGCTCTTCCCCATTTTGTTCTTCCCCATCTGGCTCTTCCTCATCTTCCATCTCATTCCTCTAGTCCTCTCTTCTAGCCCTTCAGTCTAGTTCTTCCCCATCTCAGTTTGTTCCTCTCAAGTTCTTACCCGTCTAGTTCTTCCATTCTCTTTTCTCCTCTCCATTCTCCCTTGCCCTGGAAGTCCCGGTATATATATACACTTACAAGCAGTATTCCCTTAGCAATGCAAAACCAGGCTTCCAGGGTCAAATGGAGGGGTGATAAGAATCACATAGGGAGGCAATAACTGTTAGTTATCATTTGCAACCCCAAAGGGAGTGACCAATGGGG